CTTTTCTATCCGATTTGCTTCCACTGTTTCGCTGTCCTCATAATCATCTAAAGAAAAAAGATTCTTTCCTCTATAGACGCTTTTTTAAGTCAGAAGGAGGCAAATTATTCTATTTCGTGTACCAGGTCTTCTAAATGTCCTCAGCAGGGCACCGGCCGCTTAGCTAGTTCCTCTCAAATTACATGCAGAAATTAGGGGAATTAAAATTAGAAATACGTGTATAGCTAAATATATGCTCGTTAGAATGAAGTGTGTCTGTTTGCTGTGCGAGCTCTGCCGACGGTGCAGTATATTTTGAGCCCGGGCAACTGCTTCCCAGCCCGAACAGACTGGTGAGCAGTCACGGAAACCCCGGCGTGCAGGAAAGAAGGATTCTTTCCACATTCTGTAGACAAACTAGTTACTTTGTTGTGGTTTTTTTTTTTTCATTCAGCTTAGTTTGTGCATCTCTGGATTACAAATCCAGTCCTCTCTCAATTTTCTGTCTCTTACTTTGTGGGGGGGGTGGAGTTCCGAGGACTCATGGACAAGAAAAAGCAAAACCTTTGCGACAGGGGATTTCGCCCTCTCAGTCCTTCAGACAATTTATAGCTGAAAAAGACTGTCTTTTTGTGTATTTTGAGGATCAAATGCGACAGATTTAATGCAACTTTGAACATTAAGCTGTGTGCACTAAGTTTTCTTAACTGGCTGCATCTCCTGGTCACAGAGAAATGGGAACTAAACTCCCACAAACACCTTTTTTTCCCTGTTGTTTCAACCTCCTGTCCATTGCAGAGCTGAGGTATTTATAGCTTCCCCGCATGTACCACCAGAATGGAGGGACCCATTTTATCTTTAAAAATGGATTTAAAAATGTGTAAGTCACTTATGAGTTACCTATGCTTTATTAGAACAATTATATGTGAAGTATTTATAGAGCCTCGGCAGCTAATGTAGGTAACCTGGAATTTACAACCAAAGTTATAAAAGTACCAAAGAGATTTCTAACGAGGTTCCCTGGAGAAATCAGGGGAGATGAGGATCCAGCGTTCTGTAGCTGGTCAGGTCACCGTACGTCGCCAATCAGTCCTGGTAGAACGACTGTGGCGGTGTCGCTAATTGAAATTAAAAAGCAGAGAAGACAGTTTAGCAGCAGGGAAAACAGGAACGGGACGCATTATCTGGGTTTCTTGGTTATTTGCCTGTATATGTTCGGTGATTAATGAATGAAACGGTTCTCGTTCTGCTGCCTCCTCTTTTGCGGTCTTGTTCTTAACGTAGCGTTTCATAAAAGTTAAAAGATCCACCGTTGCTGCTCAAAGAAGGGGCAGCTCTGCTGGCCGAGCCCCTGGAGATGGCCTTTCCGCTAAAGACCGGGACGTATTTTCCAAGTAGCACAGAGAAAGTTTGCAGCTCAGCCCCTTCCCCGCACGGACGACAGAGCCTGGTCTCCAGGGCTGTCGGTCCGGCACTATTAACGCAATAAATTCCCTCTTTAGGGAGAGAAAAAATTGTGCCGAGTAATATTGAACAATTCTCTATAGGACAATATCGTGGGATGTTGGCTCCGGTGCCATGTACATAAGCCAAGTGTCTCCTTGGGATAAGCGTCGCTATGGATTATTATATGTTCCGTAATTACAAAACCTCTTCCAGCAGCAGTAAGATGCTTGCATGAGGGATTTCAATTGTGCTTTAGATAGTAAAATTGCACAGAAAGATACTCCACATTAAGGTGATGAATGTTAATGTGCCCTGAAGAGGAAGAGCATTTCTGTGAGCAGTTTAGTCATTTTCACCACAGATTGATTCTATCATATTTTATTCAGTATTTTGATGGCCTGTTGAAATCAATAATGCTGCAGCCTTACTGGCTGGAATGGCAGCTTTCATATAATTAAAAAACTTCAGAGTAAAACTGCCTAGAAGGATCCCATGTAGAGGATATAATTAGGCTTTGAGGGCCTGAGTCAGTGGAATCAATGGAACTTCCATTGATAAATCAACTTTTGATAGGGCCCCTAATGCATCTTCTATGACAATGGCACCTTTCTTCAGATATTTTTATGGTAGAGTCAGAAAAACATTAGGGAAGTGAAAGTAAATACAAGTTAAAACAAAAGTTAAATATTGTAAAAACTCTGACCAAAGACCAAAAAGAGAAAGACAATTTGTAGCTAGATCAGAACCACCACAACTACTCTAACTTCAAGAGAATGCTGGCTTCCAGTGGCTGAGCATCTGGACATTTGTGGATATTTGGGATATTTTCATCTAAAAATCGAGAGGGCAGTGAACATATTTCACTTCAACCCAATAGCCAAAGAACTGAAGGACTTCTGCCTCTGTTAGTCAGGAAATCATCATGGTATCTTCTTGCTGGAAGACAGTTGTCCAACTTTGGAGGCTTCCCTCATTCTGTTGTTCTTGGTACTCAGTTGACAGCTTCATCCATCAGCTTCCACACCTGGGATCCAAGCTACTGTGGCTCAGGTATTCCGAGCAATGTTTCCCTGAAAGTCAGAATCTTCCTCTGCTCCGGTGGAGGGATGCAATATTTCACCAGAGTAAAACCCATCTCTGAGGGAA